AAAAAGAAAGTAGTATCCATGGAGCGATCTCTCTCTCTTTGGTTATCACTTTGGAGTGTATGCGTAGTTTTTTATTTCTGTTTTTTTTCTATCTTTTTCTTTCTCTCTTTTTTTAGTTAATTTCATTGGATTTCAGCTTTAGTTTGAATCATCATCAACAAAACATTAATATTTTTTTTTGGTTGGCAATCGATTCTCATCTTTCCTATAGTGAACAACATACAGAGAAACACAGATAGATAGATACTTTATATAGAAAGTTACATATAACTGTAATATATTTTTACACCACCATTACACATTGTTGAATTTTTCTTTTTCTTTTTCTTTTTCTTTTTCTGGTTATGAATTTTCAATTCTGCAAGTAAAATATTATGATTTTAACTTTGGCGCGACAACCAACCAACCAATCATCATCATAGTCGAAATCCAAAATGAACAGAATTTGAATTTGATGAAACGCTCAACCAAAAAACGAATCAAATTTTTTTTTCCACAATTCTTTAACACAGAATTGATTCTTGATTTGTTTCTTCTTGTTGGAATTCTGGAATTATATCTGTTTGTCTCTCTCTGTGTGTGTTTGAGTGTGCATCTTTGATTTTCGTCAAGATTTCGATTTCTTATCCAAAATCGTATTGAAAACTTGCATAAAAATCATCATCAGAGCATCATTTTCAACCAATCAACCAACCAACAAGTGCAAATTATTGAAAAGAAAAAGAAAAAAAGAAAATATCGATATCCTGTGTGGCGTATTTGGTGTTTGTTTTTGTTTCGTTTTTCTCCAAAATATATTTCTATTTTTTTCGGTTAAAATTTAGTTGATTTAGTTGCTGCTTAATTTTTTCAGAATTAAGCTTGCAACTAATTCAAAAATAATAATTTCAATCAAAACGGCGTCCTATAAGCAACAACGTTCATATGAACTAGACACTGAGTGGCCAGTATGTAGTCCGGTATCGATTGGAATGGATTCCAATTTTTATGATCATCATCAATCACCATTAAATAATAATAATAATAATAATAATTCATTTGATACAAATAAATTATCAACAACAACAACAACAACAAATCGTGTTACAAAGTGTGTTTCACCATTACAATCGCTTGTACATAGTACAACAAATATTAATAACGGTTCGGATGTTGGTATTACAACCGATCTCAGTAGTCCTGAACTTACATTTGATCATATTTCAATACAACAATTTATAACAAACGATCAGAACGATAATAATAATCATCATCATCAACAACAACAGGAATCATTATTTTCTGGATTAATATCAAACAATCAACAACAACAGCAAAAAAATCAAGTGATTACAGGTGGTTTAAACCACCACCACCATCATCACCACCAACAACATCCTCACCATCATCAATCAGTCAATAACGGTCCCTCTCCCAATAATAATAACAACAACAACAACGGTAGTAATCAGAATAATACGCATTCCTCAAATCAATATCAGAATTCAAATAATTCATACCAACAACAACAACAACAACAGCATACATCAATGCCTCAACAGCCTATAATTGGCACTANGGTTCTACAGTCAAACAAGAACCATTAGATACAGAAGATTTCTCAACAAATATTTGTAATAATAGTCAACAATCAACAACAGCCACAGCAACAACAACAACAAATAATAATAATAATAATATTTTTATTTCAAGCTCATTTGGTCATACAAATAATTATATAAATGATACTCGTTTAACAAATACAAATAATAATGGTAATAATACAAGATTATCATCAATTGAATTAGGTGATAATTCAAATCAATCAATAACACAAAGATCACAACATCAACAACAACATCATCATATGATTTTTGGTATGAATCCATCAACAACAACAGCAGCATCAACAATTTCTTCATCATCATCATCTTCATCATCATCAACACATTCTGGACGTAATAATAATCATAATCATAATAATCGTAATAATAATAATAATAATAAAAATCATTCTAAAAAACATGTTGATAAAGGATCGGATGAATATAAAAAACGACGTGAACGTAATAATATTGCTGTTAGAAAAAGTCGTGAAAAAGCTAAAGTTCGTAGCCGAGAAACGGAAAAAAAAGTATCACAATTAGCCGGTGAAAATGAACAGTTAAGGAAAAAAGTTGATTCACTTAATAAAGAATTGAATGCATTGAAAAGTTTATTTGCAAATGTTGGTATACCACCGGAAAGTGTTGATTCAGAAATTGAAAAAGGATTACAAATGGAATCACAACAACATATGCATTCAACAAATTTTCAATCTATGTAAAATTTATTTAGACAACAAAAAAAAATTATCAATTATTAATTTTAAATTACAAATTACAAATTATAATTTATTATTGATTGATTATTATTCAAATCAAATCAACGAAATGTAATGCTGATGATGATGATGTTGACAAATATTTTGTTTTTGTTTTTTTTATTCAATTTTATCTTTATGTTTTTTTTCTGTTTTGTTTTAAAAACAACCCACTAAACAATATTTATAAATTACAACCAAAAAAAAAATCCAAGTTTCTTTTGAAATTATCATCCGTTTTTTGGCTAGTTCTTCATCACCATCGATGGATCGCGATCGAACAATCGAAACACCCGAACAACAAAAATTGATACCGTTTTGAAAACAAAAACAATTATCGCTCATTACCATCATCATCACCTTTCAATCAATCAATCCTTATTCTTCTTATTTTTTTTTCTTTTTTCGTTGATTATTATCGTTATTCATTTACCTGGACACCTGCCACACACAAACACAAACACAATTATCAATCGTGATCGATTTATTCTTGCAATCCCGTCCCAAAAAAAAAGTTGAATAACCAAAAAAAAAAACAAAGAAAAAATTCACTCCCTTTCTATCTCAATTTCTTATTATTGTTAACCCCATATGTCCCCTCACACATACACAATCAACATTTGTTTACTTTTTGTTAAATAAAATAAATTATTAATTTATAAAAAAAAATCATTCGAACCAAACCAAACCAAACCAAAAAAAGAAAAAAATTGATGCAAAAAATGCAACAAGAAAAAAAATTTTCAAATTTACCTTGATCAATCAATCCACCGCCAAAAGAATTTATCCAAAAATTTGCCTTTTTTCACCCCCTCCGTTGACAACTTCTCTCTCTCTCATTCTAATTATCTTTATAAAACTTTAATTACAAATTCTAAAATTATATTTAATCTTGTTTCTCTCTCGCTCTCTTTCTTATATTTTCACATTTACATATATTAGGATATTATATTAAATGTTCAAATTTTTTTCCCGCAATTTTCTTTTAACCCTTTTTCCTTGTTATCAATCAAATTGATGAATGANTAACAAGCTTAAACCTTCAAGATTATCTTCAATCTAAAATCTAAAATCATCATCATCATTGGAAAATTTATTAATTTCTATAAGGTAAGTTCTACGAAAACATTTTTTCTTTTCCAAAATAACTTCATATTTGAAATGATATTTTCTTTCGGGAAAAACTTACGGAAAAAAACGGATCATTTTTTTTCTTCTACTATCTATGTTTGTGATGGACTTTTCGATGAATGTTTTTCTCTCTCTCTGAAAGATATTTGGTTTTCATTTGGAAAATTTTTTTTTTGATGTTATTTTCATCGATTGATGTTTATCAATTTGCTTGTTTGTTTCTTTTTAATGGGTTACCTAAATTCTTTCTTTATTTTAGTTTTTGATTCGATCGATTGTATCGAATCAGACTTCAATAATCGATTTTTTTAAAGAAAATTAATGTTTATCCTCAATTTTCATTATTTCATGATTTGAAAATTTAAAACAAATTAATAACGTTAATATTTTGGTTACCAATAGCGATGTTGATAACCAGTAAAAGAAATCATCCAGTTGATAATGTCCAAAGTTAAGTTTGTGAGTATAGTTGTTGTTGTTGTTGTTTCTATACTTTGGTAATCCAAAGAATTTCCCAACACAAAGCTGTTGTTAAGCAAGCATATCCTTATGGCGTCATGACGCCCAAATTTTCCAACCAAATAATCAGATTGATTTGTTGATTGGGGTTGTTGTTTTTTCCTCTATTGAAGAATTTAGAACGGTAACCAATCTTATGGTTGTTGTTTGATTGATGGTTGATAGTGGTGTTGGTGGCGGTAGAGGTAGATTATTTCCATTTTCTGTAATCAAAAAAAAAAGAAGGAGGTGAAAGAGGTGAAACTTTCTCTTTTTATTTCCCAATCAAATTAACAGGAAAAAGAGAGATAGAGAGAGAGAAAAAAAAGAATGATTTTCAAAGTGAGAGAAATGTAGTAGTGGTAAATGATGGATGGATGGATACTTCTTTGATTACCATCAATTATGCATATAATATCAAATTTATTGATGTTTAATGTGGGTGGTTTGATGATGATGATAATAACAAACAACAATTTAGCGATTTGATCATCATAACTACCAAATGAAAATCTATAGATGATGATGACATCTACAAAAAAGATAAATCGAATCAAAAAATCGAAAAAGCAAGTAGCCAGGATGCCGTTTTTTGAATCATCATCATAAACATCTTTTTTGTTGTTTGAAACCGAACACACACAGGACAGGACATAACATTCAATTTCAACAAACTTGTTGCACATTGTTTCTGTATTTTTTTGATTGACTGAAACAAATATTGTTGCTACTGCTGTTGTCTGTTATCATCATTCATCATCATCATTTACATCATTCATTTACATTGAAAACATCGATTCTATCCAATATTGTCGTTTGTTTTGTTTTGTTTATTTGATTGCTTGTTTTTTGTCGTTCTTTCACTCTTTCTTTGTCATTTGTGAATGATGAATATGTGCGTTCCATGACTTTTGGATCTTTCCAGTCAGAAAGAAAAAACGCCATAAAAATCTTTTTGCCGTGTTTGTGTTATTTGATTGATGTATTGATTTTTGATTTGAATTATGTGTGATAACAATGATTGGTAAGTGTTTTTTGTTTTGAATTTTTTGGATCAATTTTTTTTTTTTTTTTT